AATTCAAGTTTTGTGCAAAAACGCATGATCGCTCCGGCTTGCCTGGTGCGTTCCAGCCTACGTTTAATATTATCATTCGCGTACGATTCGATCTCACGTGCGGATACGTGGAAAAAATACGTAAATTTTTCGGCGGAAAAGCGATTTTAGGACCCAGACAAGATAGGAAGTTGAAATTTCATAGGGATGTACTATTTAGTGCTATGAGTCAAAAGTTTCAAATTCAGCTTTAACGCATGCTTACGCCATATGTGCGAATACATTGGGCTGTGATTTCATAACCGCTGAAAAAAATGCCGGATTGGGAACTAAGCTGAGTGGAGCGCTCGAACTCTAAGAAAACATTTGCTCTCTATACGTGGACACGTAGGTGTAAAATGCGCTTTGGTGTAGCCCGCACCGCTCATCCGGAGACGCCAAGGATGTACATAAAGAAAAGTGGTTTCGCCAACTAGCCAAGCCAGAGAGCTGGAACTTCACGAGGATATTCTATGCAAATGTGCGACCCAAACATTTCAAATTTAGCTTTAAAGTACGCCTAAGTCTCATGTTAGCGTAAGTGAATATTTAATTCTGGACACTATCGGCGTCCTACTAACTCGATGACTAGAATGAGCAGGAAAGTGCGTTTTTCTGAGGATGTTTGCTGTTCATGTGCGAATTATCAAGTGCGATCAAGTATTTCCGCCTAGGTTTGAACCCTGCTTACAGGCGTATTAAATTATCTAACTGTAAAACCACAGTGCTATCCCAATCTCTGCACAAGATGAAACAATGCCAAAATGCATGATCGCACCGACAAGCTTGGTGCGCCTGCAGCTGGGTTGAGGTTAAAATAGAGCAGCCTCGTGCCCATGTGCAACAATTTTAGCCTCCAAGCTGAATTTAGACTGCACGTGGATACAGAATAATTTTGTAAACCATCAACTTCGCGGCTTGTCCGGTACCCGAAATTGCCATTTCGCTTCATATACCTTTGACGTGCTTTAAGGCGTGGCGCAAGTGTAATTCGAGGCTCCATCTAGGCATACGAGTCATTCGCGTATTCGAGATCTAGATGAACGTTAAATTTTCTGGCAAAATCACAGTCGTTCCCTACTAGTTTTAGGGTATGGCCAATGTCAAGTTGCGAATTTTGACGCTGCGTACATATGACGCAAGCATGCACGATCGCTGAATTGAAATTTTTAGCCCACACATGGACAGAGAATGTCCCTGCAAATCTCAGCTTTCTACGTTTGCCTGTTCCAGGAAATGTTTTTGCCAAAAAATTCACATATTTTAGGCATTTGTAGGTGAAATCTAGGACTGCGTGTGCGTTATTTCAAATCGACAGGATGGCGAATGGGGTGGGAATATAGTTCTATAGTTTCAGTCTTCGAACTTCCCTGGCTGTAGAGTTGAAAGTGGTTGACAAAGTTCACTAGCTTCCTAATTCATACAACACACAGCCTCTTAATAATACGCGTTTCTGCAACTGCATGAGATGCAAAAACGCATAAGCACGAATTTTCTAATTCATTTGATTTAATACACGCACAAAAATACAGACCGCTGGATCGGGTAATTGATGCTCTCACTCACACAGATCATGCATGATATAGCACAACGTCTTGCAAATTATAGCTCTGCATATTGTATTAATAATAATTAAAATAAATAGCGACGCTCGTCAGGGCAACCGGTGCGATCATGCGTTTTGCGCAGTTCGGTCCAGCTAACGTTTGCCTACTAAGGATTTTCACCGCCTTGCACTTTGCTCTGTGCAAAAATAATTGGGATTTTGCCTGGTTCCTAAGCTGCGGAATTTCTGACTAAAAATTTCACGCACCGGAATATGAAAGTCGAATTCGAAACCTTGAGGGGCGAATATATCTTCAAAATTTCAACCTCCCAATTCCTGACTTTTGAGTGATTTTTACGACAAAACTTTCATGTGGTTATACGTAAGACCTAGGAAAACTCAGGAATTGAATTTGAGTCTATGAAGCCCTGCTTAGGAAGAAAAAATCATCCCGAAATTTTCAGTTTCCTAGCTCTTCTGGCCTCCAAGATAATGATTTTTGCCTCCAAAACTTTCGTGGAGACGCTGAGATCCAGGCGTGTGTGAAAGCTAAATTTGAATTTGGCGTACGTGAAAGCTAAAATTTTTTTTCGCTCGTGGACAGGAAACGGTACCCTAAAATTTCAGCTTCGTAGCTTTCGTAGTCCCAAAGATAATAATTTTCCTCGCTAAAACTTTCTCGGGACCGTACATGATACCCAGAAGCGCGGGAAGGCTGGATTTAAATTTGCGGAATTTTGTATAGGCGGGAGACATAACCGTAAATTTCAGCTTCTTAGCCTTTATGCTTCCCGAGTTAAAAGTTATGGACAAGATGCATCGGACAGACACTCACACACACAGACAACCCCGTAAAAAAAGTATTTTGCTCAGTTGTTGCACAGCACAAAACGCAAGCGGAATACTTCGGGTGCAACATGCTCGACCATATGTTATTTTACGATTGACTATGTTTCATTACATTTAGTTATCAGTCAATCGAGCAAAAGCGCGAAGCAACAACGGAATTGCTGCAGCTTCTGTAAGCTACTGAACTAACTGAGCCAATCTCTGCATTTACTGCTGCTTACGGTTTGCTAAAGAAAGCTATAAGAAACGTTCCAATTAGTTTGAGACAGCTTTTTAAGAAGGACAGCTCATTTTCCAGGTGGGAACTCTTTTCACGCAACGGTTTCACGGTTGCTTAATGTGTGTTCCTTCTATTTCACTCAAATCTTCATCCGGGGGTAGCGGGTCAAGAATCCATTTCAAAAAAACCAGGTAAAAACGCACCACGCTTGCCGGTGCGATCATGCGTTTTTGTACCAGACTTAAAGTACTTAGGCCATTAACTGCATGAATGGTTGTTGCTTTATACCTACCTTTTGCGCTCACTAGCGTAAATTACCATAAATTTTGCATAAAATAAATAAACAGTTTCCATTCGTTCTTCGAAATTAACCTAGCTGTTCAGTGAGCAGTTTTCCCGCCAAAACTTTTAAGTGCCTATACGTGAGAACCGCGCATACCTGAAGACTGAATTTGGAATATTTAAGTTATATTTGGACAAGGAACACCCCCTGAAATTTGAGCTTTCAAGCTTTTCTGATTCACGAGTCAGTAATTTTCCCGCCAAAATTTTCATACGATCCCAAGTGAGTATCACGCATAATTGAAAGCTGAATTTGAAATCTTTAGCTCATACATACACATGGAATGTTTCTGCAAAGTTTAGGCCCTTATCCTGCCTGGTTCCCGAGATCGTCTTCTTGCCAAAATCGCTTTCCTGTCCCTTACCTCCCAGTCGCCTTTCTTCCTTCCGCCTTCCTGCCAAAGATCGCCTTCCGCCTTCCTTGAGTTGAAGGTGGGTGAAAAAAAGTGCGGACACACAGACAGCCTCTTGCCAATATGCGTTTTTGCAATTTGCATGTATGCAAAAACGTATAAAAATTGCCGACAAAAAGGCTATCAGCTGAAGCATTCAAAGTTTGGTCGAAAGGATTTTCGTCCGCTTTTTACGAAACCATGCTGATTAAAAAAACTCAGATTTCACAAGGTGAGAAACCTGACGTTGTCACACTGATATTTGCGTGGAGCACCGACCGCGTAAATCCGTGCATCTTAAAAATTCCAATATGACAACAGCTGTTGGCTAAGCACTCTTATATAGTATGTTTCTACATTCTACAACGGATTAAGGGGATGCATATCCAGTTTCGTTCCAGCATAAACAATGAACATGAAACTGGGTTCCGTTGTCATGGCTTAGGCTTCGGGTCAGCTAACACATAATCTGCTAATTCGAATTGATGAGAAATGCAAACAAACTTTTGACGAAAGTTCTTGACGATATGTATGTAACCCAAGCGAACTCGAGCAAAGCTCCGAAAATGAATGTAAGGCATGCTGCAATAATCATCTTGCAAAAAATCTACGGAAGTAATTGTCATTTAGGCCCGTGACATTTCGGCTATCTTCAAAAAGTTAAGACTTTGGATATTTGTAAACTTATTTCACTCTTTTCATGTGACATGCTTTTCTTTTTTCGCCACGAAAGAAATGAACAAATGAGGAAGGCAACGAACCACCAATCCATACGTCAATTGCCTTTGTATAAGACACTGGTGGTAGTTTAGCGTTGATACCAGAAGCCTGCAATAGGAAACATGATTTTTAAACCACGCCGTTTTAGACTTAGAGGGATTGGCAGACCAACGCCTTCATAGCCTCCATATTTTGGCAATTACAAAAACTCGGATCGGCTCGGTTCGTCTCATACACGAGCTGCAAAAAATTTTTTCTCCTGACGGCAGGTAGGGCTACCTCATGGCGGATGGCAGCAGTTTGAATGTGGCAAGTGGAAGTGAGGGTGGTATGTGGCAAATTTCGTTTGAGGCAGAGGAGGGGGCTAGGAGAGGTGAATATAAGGACTAAATGGCATAGATCCTTTGCCGATTGACTAAGTAACATACATTTGGTGGGGAGCGGTGAAGAACGGAAAGGATGAGGAAATGTGCTCCTGGTTTTTACCGTAGATACCAGGGGTAGGAAAGCTATATACTACTTGCTTGAACAGTGATATTCTAGAAGCGATGGAGAGGGGTCTACATCTTGTTTGCTAGCAGGATTTGCGACAGAGTAGAGAAGGGGAGCGAGGATGCAAGTCAGCAACTCGAGGCAAGAACTGGAGATAGCAGTAAAAAAACAATTGGTCAACGCACGGGCTGCCGTGCGAAGATGCGTTTTTTGCACAGTTCTCCGCAGTTTTTGTCGCTACCTGGCATACCCGAAGGCTGGGTTTGAGCTGAATGAGACTTAGATGGGCGGGGAATATTCTCTTAAAACTACAGTCCTTTAGCTTTTCAAATTCCCGAGTTATCAACCTATCCAAAAAAAACTTTGGCGGGCCCGAACGCGGGCACCACGCTTACCCGAAGGCTGGGTTTGAGCTTATTAATACCCACTTGGACGGGAGACATCCCCCGAATAATTCAGCATTCTAGCATTTCAGATCCCTGAGTTATGAACTTGTCCGAAAAACTTTGGCGGGCCCGTACGCGGGTACCACGCTTATCCGGGGGCTGGGCTTGGGCTTATTAATACCCACTTGGACGGGAAGCAGTCCCTTAAAATTTCAGCCTCCAAGCATTTCTGGTTCTCGAGTTACCAGCTTACTCGTAAAAAACTTTGATGGGCTCTTACGCGGGTACCACGCGGGTAAGACCGCCCATTTTGAGGATGGGGCCCGTACATGCATGTAGATAAAGTTCTTAAAGTTTCAGCCCCGTAGCTTTTGTAGATCTTAAGATGAAAAATCGGTACAGAGGTCCAGCGCGCGCGCATACGCACACAACCTCTCGTCAATATGCGTTTTCCGCACTGCATAGCTGCAAAAAACGCATAAAAAAGACAACACCGTGCACACACACAAAAGCAAATTAAAGCAAATTAGGCTTCATGAACAAAAGCAAAAGAAACTGAGGATTTGCTAGTGGAAACTGATCCAAAAAAACCCGCCATCAGTAGAGGATGGGGAAACCGAACGCTCTCGTTAGCATAGATGGATGAATCGTGAAGCCGGTAGAGACAGCGACGAGTTAACACTGTAAACATTCGTTGACAGAAACAAGATTTAGGAATTCCGATAGAAAACACTGTTGTGCTACTATCTGAACGTTGGAAATTCTCAAAGCGTTGCAATTTCACCTCACCAATTGATCAACGCAGTGAACTTCTGGCAACTTCCCACGATTGCTATGACCGAATCTGCAACATTGGTGCCTCGTCTGCTGGCGATCATCGTGCTCCTCTCCGTTACTTAATTTATTAGTTTTTCAGAAAAGAAAAATGCTAGATGTGTCGCATTCCCTCTGATACTTTCACGATTCTACAGATCACCCAAGCAATCCAGTTATGACTTCCTTCAGTAGTCATTCAGTAGTCATTAGCACCTGGAGTTAATTTATTAGGAGTCAGGAAAAGTACAGGGCTTCGAGTATAAAGGTGCCTGCAGCATTACCTAGAATGCAGCCCTAGGGTCCTCACTATTTGTATCGGAGGACTGAAAAAAAAGACAACAGAAGTGTTTTCATTTTGAACAATATTTTCTAAATTTCTTCTCAGTTCATTTGTTATCTTGATGATTTTGCTGTGTCGCATGATGTGCAGGAAAAAGCTGAAAGTGAAAAATATTCTCGAATTGCATCGTGGTGATGAGCGGAAACGAAGAAAGCATTTGATCTAGCAGTAATCGTGCACTATTGGAGACTGAAGACGGGAAAAATTGAGATGCATGGAGGATAAGATGTTAAAATCACAAAAAAAAAATATTTGCATTTAGTCTTTTCTTCTCGCCTCCCCACTCAATTCCTTCATCCCGATCTGCCCTTCCTCTACCCCTTGCACGTATTAAGTTCCATCTGGCAAAAATCAGTAAAGAAATCAGTTGAAGCAGCAAACGTTTAAAAATCGATGCATTTTGCTGTTGTGATATAAAATGCATAAATGATTTCACGTAGACACAGAAGAAGTACATGTCGCGCGCATTGGTGACAGTCGCATTTCAATGTATGGCGCATCCAAAACAAGAGGTCGCTGTTTAAAAAAAAATCTTTGAAGAGGCAGCAGGCGTGTTAAGGTGGATGTCGGAAAAACTGAAAGGCGGGTAGCATAACACAATTGAGCTCAGCCTGGCTGTTGGGGGGAATTGCATTTTCTTCGAAGCCAAAGATCCCAGAACGACAGCTCCTGCAGTCTTTATATAGACCGAATTGCGGACAATACGCGGAGCGGGTTTCATATCCACCGAATCCAAATTCAAAATTTGTCGCAAATTTCAGGATGTATCAGCAGGCTGCTTCAAAAGCAAAATTTCGTAGCCATGCACAAAAAATTTCGACGGCTTGTCTGTCTTTTTAGTAAAAACTTGCATCCACTGAAATACAAAAGAAGGAAACTGTAGGATTTCAAGTGATGTCAGACGCGGGAATATAATGAAGGTGCAGTAAACTGGAAAAAGCTTGGGTGGGAGTTTTTTGAATGGTGGTATCCAAAGTTTTTTAGCTGAAGCTTATCAGTTGTGAGAGGAGTGAAATCTTTTAGAAATAAAGGAAAGGGTAAAGGAATTGAAGCAGCTGCAAGAGGAGAAACTGGGAGGAGAGAAAGAGGGTGGGGAAAAGAAGGGCAGAGCAAGGAAGGAGAAAGAAGTCAAGGACGAGAGGGGAAAACAGAATCCAGGGTGTGCAGTGATCAGGTCTTTTTTTTTCAATGAAGGGAAGTTTAGATGAAGAAAGGGAGTGTTTTATTGTTAAAATTTTTGAAAAAGCGAATCAGCCTACCTGAGTTGTCATGGTAAGTAGTGTCGTAACGCCAAGTGTAACGCGAGCTGGAACGGCCGTACGATCGAGCCAGAATGATACCCAGGAAACGATCACAAGCATCGAGCTCGGCACATATAGTTGCAGCAAGTAATAGCTACAACAGGACCCGTTACGCCATATTTTAAACCCAGGCTGGAACGCACCAGGCTCTCCGGTGCGATCATGCGTTTTTGTACTAAACTCGCAGATCG